GCAGGGCGGGCTTGGTGGCTCAGCCTGTAATCCCATACCTTGGGAGGCTGAGGTGAGTGGACTGCCTGAGCCCATGGGTTCAAGACCTGCCTGGGCAACTTGGTGAGACCTCATCTCTACAATAAATCAAAAAATTAGCCAGGCGTGGTAGCGCGTACCTGTAATTCCAGCCACTTAGAAGGCTGAGGCGGAAGGATCGCCGGAGCCCAGCAGGTCGAGGCTGCAGTGGCCGGGAGCTGCCATTACACTCCAGTCTGGGCGGCAGAGTGAGACTCCAACTCAAAAAAAAAAAAAAGACACAGGTAATGTTGAAAGTACTTTAATTTACATTTCTAATTACTGTTCACAGATACGTTTAACTCTTTGTCTAAGCCTTAGATTAATATTTTAACCAAAATAACTCAAGGGAGATAGCCTGTAACGATTTCCACAATCATCAGTTTATAATTTTTGGTTGTTACAGGTCGCATTTGTGTGCCTATTGATTTGCAGAAAATAGATCAGTTTGATCCGATTACTGTTCCAACCATAAGGTATGCTCTAGATCATTGATTACTCCTTGTTTATGATTGTTTTCTAAATTTGAAGTACACTAGATTAGATTCCTTCTCAAGATGTAGCTGCAAGGGAATAGTATATTTGGTTATGGAAGCAAAATAAGGTACTACGGTTAGATGGTAATACCTGACCAGGCTTGGTGGCTCATGCCTGTGATCCCAGCATTTTGGGAAGCCAAAGTGGGAGGAGCCCAGGAGTTTGAGACCAGCCTGGACAACATAGCAAGATCCCATCTCTATAAAAAATATATTTTTTAAAAGATGATAATACCCTAATGGAACAATTCAAGTTTTTCCACTGCTGTTATGTAAGAAAAAGATTTTAAGGTCAAATAGGCTTGGGAAATGCTACCTAAACAGATTAAAAGTTTATTTTGCTACAAGATTTCCTAGTCTTGAGCATGATGATGTATATGAGAAACTCCAAGAAGAGATTATAGTTTGGAGAAGATCCCAAATTTAGTTGGCCACATAGATTTTTACATAAAATTGTATGGGATTCACTGCTGTCATACACTTGGTAATATTGACCAGAAACTAACTTTTAATTTCTCTTATTCAATTGCCTGTAGCTTCATCTGCCATGAATTGGATGCCTTTTCCACTAAAGAAGAGGAAAAAGAGGAGAATGAAGCTGAATCTGATATCAAACATAGAACCAGAGGTAGGTTAATATATTGAAGCTTCACTTTAACACAAGCTTTGTATGTAGATATCCATCTATCACTCTAGTAATTCATTCTCCTTGTATTTAGCCTAGAACAAATCAGTGTTTCTCCTGTCACCTGATCAGTAATGATGTTATGGCAGTGTTTCTGTCCTTTCTTCAACAGTTATCCAAGCGGTGTTATTGAATCCAGTCTGATTCAACAAATATTTACTAAGCAACTTCTAAATACTGGGATCTGTATTTTAAGATTAAATTATCAATTGATACTGATAATTATTTGAATCCCAGTCTCAGATTCAACAGCTGATTGGGAGCCGTGACTCAGCCTGTAATCCTAGCACTTCGGGAGGCCGAGGCGAGAGGATTGATTATCTGAGTCTGGGGGTACAAGACCAGCCTGGGCAACTTGGTGAGACCTCGTCTCTACAATAAATCACACACACACACAAAATAGCCAGTCATGGTAACGTGTGCCTGTGGTTGCAGCTACTTGGAAGGCTGAGGCGGAAGGATCGCCCAGCAGGTCGAGCTAGGGTGGCTGTGAGTGTGCTGCTGCACTCCAGCCTGAGCAACAAGAGTGAAACTCCAACTCAAAAAAAAAAAAAAAGATTCAACAGCTATTTATTTAGTACCTACTATGTATTCAGTCCTTTTGTTCTTTTTTTTTTTTTGATGAATTCAAGTGGGTTTTATGGTAATTATGTCTAAACTATTGATTTAATTGTATATTCAAAAATTTGAAAAAGCTGAGGAATTGCTAAATCTTCCTGCTAATGGAAGACATGTAGTGGCCATGAACATGCCACTACACTCCAGCCTGGGTGACAGAGTAAGACTCCAACTCAAAAAAAAGAAAGAAAGAAAGAAAAGAAAAAAGTCTCTAAAATAAAAATCAAGAATAAACTGGATAAAGGAACCTAGGGGAAAATAGACAATGCAAGGAACAAAGGAAACCATTTTGTTTAAGAAATTAATACCCTTGCCAGGCATGGTGGCTCACGATTGTAATCCCAGCACTTTGGGAGGCAGAGGCAAAAGGATTGCCTGAGTTCATGGGTTCGAGATCAGCCTGGACAACTTGACAAGATCTTGTCTCTACAACATATCAAAAAATTAACTGAGTGTGGTGGCACACGCCTGTGGTTTCAGCTACCCGGAAGGCTTTAGTCCGAAGGACCACCTGAGCCCAGTGGCCCAAGGCTGCAGTGGCTATGAGCAGCCTGGCAACAAAGTGAGACTCCTACTCAAAAAAATAAAAGAAAGATTAATACCCTTATAGCCGGAGCAACATAGTGCAATCCCATCTCTCCAGAAGTAAAAACATTAACTGGGTGTGATGATGTCCACCTGTACTCCTAGCTACACAGGAGACTGAGGCAGAAGGATGGCTAAAGCCTAGGAGTTCAAGATTACAATGAGCTATGAATGCACCTCTGCACTCCAGTCTGGGTGGAAAAAAATTTTTTTTTCAAGTTAGAAAGTACAGTTTATTTAAAAGTAAATTATAGAGAAAGAAAGAAAGTTCACCTCCCCAAGGGAGGGAAGGGGACCAAAGGCAGGAAACATGGCAACAGCCATAGCTCAAAGAATACATGGCTACACCATGGCTTAACAAGGCAGTGGTATCAATGGTCTGACAATGGCCCTAATCTCTTTTTTAAAGATAATTTAGCCGGGCTCAGTGACTCAGCCTGTAATCCCAGCACTTTGAGAAGCTGAGGTGAATGGATTGCCTAAGTCCGTGGGTTCAAGACCAGCCCAGGCAACTTGGCAAGACCTGGTCTACAATAAAAAAAGAATAGCTGGGGGTGGTAGCATATGCCTGTAGTTCTGGCTACTTGGAAGACTGAAGTGGAAGGATCACAGAGCCCATCATGTCTACGCTGGGGTGGCCGTGAGTGTGCCACTGTACCCCAGCCTGGGCAACAGAGTGAGATTCTGACTCAAAAAAAAAAATCTCCAAAAACTAGTATCCTTAGTGAACGATAAAGAGAAGATGGTGCATCCATAAAGCCAGAGCTGAATGGTATGAAAAAGAAATGCTCAGAGAACAAGAAAAAGCTCTTAGAAATCAAAAACATAATCATTAGAATAAAACATTTAATGGGAGAGTTGGAAGAGAAAAACTGAGGTTTCCAGAAAGAAGTACAAAAAAGACAAATTTGTTGTTATTGTTTGAAGAGGAAAAGGATAAAGAAAATTGCAGAACTTGTCCAGGAGAACTAATATCTGACTATGGGAGTTTCAGAAAGAGAATAAATAAAACAGGAAGAAATTGCCAAATTATATAGGAAAATGTCCCAGAAATGAGCTCTTTATTGAAAGGGCTCAGCACAATCATATAAAAAAAGACGTATATCAAGGGCACATTATTTTGGAGGTTTAGAACACTGAGAATTAAAAAAAGAGCTTTCAAAACTACCACCACCCCCTAAAAACACTACAGACCTAGGAAGAATGGCCTCATATTTCTAAATAACAATGACAATGCTCGTTTGAGGCTTTTGTAATTTTTTATTTTTGTAGAGGTGGGGGCCTCGCTATATTGTCCAGGAGGTAGGAGTTCAAGACCATCCTGGGTAATGTAGTTTCTCCCGTGTTCTCAAAAAGAAAAATAATTTTAGATATACTAGGTTAGGCCAGGTGTGGTGACTCACATTTGTAATCACAGCATTTTGGGAGGCCAAGGCGGGAGGGTCACTTGAGCCCTGGAATTGAAGACCAGCCTGTGCAACAAAGCAAGACCCTATCTCTATCAAGATCCTTCATATCTACAAAAAATTTTAAAAAGAGCAAGTTGTGGTGGCATACACCTGCAGTCCCAGCTACTTGGGAGTCTGAGGCAGAAGGCTCACCCGAGTCCAGGAAGTTGAGGCTGTAGTGAGCCATGATCATGCCACTGCACTCCAACTTGAGCCACAGTGAGACTCTGACTCTAAAATAAGTAAATAGTAAAAATTAAAAAATATATATATATGTGCTGGATAAAATACCTTATTAAAAGTAATTTAATTTTTTGATGTGACTACTGGGGTATTTTGGGGGGACCACAACGCTTTATTGGGGGGGATGGAGAGTGGGGGCAAGACGGGCAAGGGGGGGAAGAGCATAGACCTCCTCAGTATTTAAAAATACATATTTCTCTTTTGTACTATTCTACAAAATTCTTACAAGAAACATGAAGTTATATTATGTTATTCTTGCTGCCAACATGCTAATTATAATGTACATTCTTCATAATTTAGATTATAAGAAGACCAGTCTAGCACCTTATGTGAAAGTTTTTGAACAGTTTCTTGAAAACCTGGATAAATCTCGAAAAGGAGAACTTCTCAAGAAGAGTGGTGAGACTCTATGCCTTTCCCTTTTAGCCAGTCGGATCTGGATGTGAGTAGTGTAAAACATCCAGCAAATTACTAATTTTTGAATTGTAGTCTTTCTTTGTCATGTTTTGAAAATTGAGGTTCAACCGGGCTCGGTGGCTCAGCCTGTAATCCCGCACCTTTGGGAGGCTGAGGTGAGTGGATTGCCTGAGCCCGCGGGTTCGAGACCTGCCTGGGCAGCGAGACCTCACCTCTACAATAAATCAAAAAATCAGCCGGGCATGGTAGTGCATGCCTGTAATTCCAGCTACTTGGAAGGCTGAGGCGGAAGGATCGCCGGAGCCCAGCAGGTCGAGGCTGCGGTGGCCAGGAGTGGCCACTGCACTCCAGTCTGGGCGACAGAGTGAGACTCCAACTCAAAAAAGAAAAAAGAAAATTGAGGTTCTGGCTGGGTTCAGTGGCTCTGCCTGTAATCCCAGCACTTTGGGAGGCCAAGGCGAGAGGACTGCCTAAGCCTGTGGGTTCGAGACCAGCCTGGGCAACTTGGTGACACCTTGTCTCTACAATAAATCACAAAAAAACTAGCTGGACGTGGTGGTGTGCATCTGTGGTTCCAGCTACTTGGAAGGCTGAGGCGGAAGGATCACCTAAGTCCAGCAGGTAGAGACTGCAGTGGCTGTGAGCGTGCCACTACACTCTAGTCTGGGCTACAAGAGTGAGACTCCAACTCAAAAAAAAGAAAAGAAAAGAAAAATTGAGGTTCCTTAATTCAATTCAACATACGTTAAACATGTTCTAAATGTCAGGTACTATGGGGGAAACAAAGATGAATTCCATACCATGCTTCCTTACCCTTAAGAAGTACTAACTTAGAGCCTGGCACGGTGGCTCATGCCTGTAATCCTAGCACTTTGGAGACTGAGTCGAGAGGATTGCCTGAGCTCAGGGGTTCGACACCAGCCTGGGCAACTTATTTATCTCTACAATAAATAGAAAAATCAGTTGGACATGATGTCGCATACCTGTGTTTCCGGCTACTTGGAAGGTTGAGGCAGAAAGATCACCTGAGCCCAGCAGGTCAAGGCTGTGGTGACCATGAGTGTGCCACTGCACTCCAGCCTGGGCGACAGAGTGAGATTCTCACTCAAAAAAAAAAAGAAGTACCAACTTAGGACCAAAAAAAAAAAAAAAAAAAACTCAGAAAGATATTTCATCTGATTGAATCTGAAATTTCATATGAAAAGGGTGGTATTTGAACTCCTTTCAGTGAGCTGCTATAAGAATTCTAATCGCCAATGCCAATACACCATGCCTTGTGGCATAAGTAGGATTTCCACAAGCAGAGATTTGATGAGATTAAGTTACAGAGGTGGAAAAAGAAGGGTTGTTCGTTTTTGAAGGAGCAGCAAAAGTAAAGGCATAAAGACAGGAAAGCATCACATCACTCTGGAAGCCATCAAGTAATGTAACTAATCTTGAAAACATTATCTCCAGAAGTGATGGGATATAAATCTGAAGAAGCAGGCTAAAGCCAGAGTATAGATGACCTTGTCCAGACTTACGTGTTTGGCTTAATTCATTAGGGACAGGGAAGCTATTCAAGGTTTTGAGAAAAGGAGTGCCGTGGTTTATAGTTTTATCCAGAAAGACAAACTTGGTGAGAGGCAGGGAATAGAACAGAGCCCAAGAGGCAAATTAAGCTATTACCATAAGAACTAGTAGCATTGGACATCTCCAAAAGGTACAGATGCAGGAAACATCCTTGAAACATAATGATTTTGAAGTGGAGAGATTATAGACTGACGGGAAAGTGTCACAGAAGCCAGGGAAAAGAAGAGATTCAAGGAGATTATCAAGTATCAAAATTCTGTTGGATATAGTAACCAGGAGGAGATGCAAAGAGGATAACAGTGCCAGATGAAGGGTTCTTTGGATAAGAGAGACCTGCACATATGTGGAAGCCAAAAGAAAAAAAATCAGAGTGACTATTATTCAAGAGATTGATTGGTCTCTTAAAAAACTGGCAACGTTATGGAAATAAAGACTCTTTCCAGTTCATTTTTTAATGAAATGTGTGATGGTGGCTGGGATCGGTAGCTCATCCTGTAATCCCAGCACTTTGGGAGGCTGAGTTGGGTGGGCTGCCTGAGCCTGAGGGTTCAAGACCAGTCCGGGCAACTTGGCGAGACTTGGTCTCTAAAGTAAACGAAAAAATTAGCCAAGCGTGGTAGCATGTATCTGTAGTTCCTGTTACTTGGAAGGCTGAGGCAGAAGGATCACCAGAACCCAGCAGGTTGCCGCCAGGGTAGTCGTGAGCATGCCACTGCACTCCAGCCTGGGCTACAGAGTGAGACTCCAACTCAAAAAAAAAAAAGTGTGATGGTTTAAGGAGTAGTACCTAAGATAATGCTCTACTCATAGTAGACACTGAAATGTGTGGTTACTGAATGAACAATGACTCTAAACTTGAACATGTCATTGAAACTGCCATCCCAACAGACCATATAAAGTCCTTTGAATTCTACTTTGATACTAGCTCAGCCTATAATGTAGGCATCAGAAAATGTGTAAGCCAATCTCTGCATGAAATGAGTTTAATGGAAGCATTAAACAATCACAGTGTGAAAATATATGGGCTTTGTTTTGTTTTGATATATATCTATTTTATTTTAGATTTACAGAAAGATTTCTGAAAATAGCTCCCTTCAAGCCAACATGGATATCTTCTACCTTCAATCAAGGATAACATACCTCAAGAGCCATTAATAAATGTGACAGACTCATGTATATATCTTAATGCTCAAAGTAAAAGTTCCTTTTCTTAAGAAATAATTGATATTGAAAGGATTTCCTGAGACTACCAAACGAGAGTGATTAGGTTCCTGAGAGGAGCAGTAAAAGAGAAGTAAGTGGATCACAAATAATTTCTGTAAGATGTAATACAGAGATAATCGTGAGATTTATGATATAAATATTCAGTTCTATCAGTTGCCATATATAGAGGTTAAGTAAGCAGTAATATGCCCAAGACGCTCAGTTCAGCTCAGGGATACAACCTCATATTTCTGGGTTAATGAAGTCTGAGAAACTTTAATCATACCTGAAGCATATATTCAGTCACTTCCTAATTTTGCTTGCTTATATTTTTATTGGTTAGACTATACCCCCAACCACCTTTTTTTTTTTTTTGAGTTGGAGTCTCACTCTGTCGCCCAGATGGGAGTGCAGTGGCCGCTTCTGGCCATCGCAGCCTCGCCTGCTGGGCTCCGGCGATCCTTCCGCCTCAGCCTTCCCAGTAGCCGGAATTACAGGCATGCGCTACCACGCCTGGCTGATTTTTGATTTATTGTAGAGATGAGGTCTCGCTGCCCAGGCGGGTCTTGAACCCGCCAGCTCAGGCAATTCACTCACCTCAGCCTCCCAAAGGTGCGGGATTACAGGCTGAGCCACCAAGCCCGGCTCCCAACCACCTTTTTAAAAGCATTTTAAACTGGGTTCTGCTGGGTATGGTGGCTCACATCTGTAATCCCAGCACTCTTCAGAGGTGGAGACGAGAGGACTGCCTGAATTCAGGGGTTCAAGACCAGCCTGAGCAACATGGCAAGGACTTGTCTCTAAAATAAATTTTTAAAAATTAACCAGGCATGGTGACACTTGCCTGTGATTCCACCTACTTGAAAGGCTGAGGCAGAAAGATCCCCTGAGCCCAGCAGGTCAAAGCTGCAGTAGCTGTAAGCATACCACTACACTCCAACCTGGGCAACAGTTTGAGACTCCAACTCAAAAAAATAAAATAAAAAATAAAATAAAATAGGCATCAAAACCTATCAAAACTTTAGTTGAAAAGATACAGGTTACTAGATTAACAATATAGTATTAGGCCTAGAGTGTTTTTTACAACTGTTGGAATCAGTGCTATTTTCCCTCAGAGAGCAATTGGATTAGTCTACTATAAAGCAGCAGCTTATGCCTATAGTTACTCAAGCCTGTAATCCTAGCACTTTGGGAGGTTGAGGCGGGAGGATTGCCTGAGCAATCGGGTTCGAGACCAGCCTGGGCAACTTGGCAAGACCTTGTTTCTAAAATAAATTTAAAAATTAGCCAGGCAAGGTAGCACATACCTGTAGATCCAGCTACTTGGAAGGCTTACACAGATGGATCGCCTAAGTCAAGCAGGTCGAGGCTGCAGTGGCCATGAGCATGCCACTGTACTCCAGCCTAGGCGGCAGAGTAAGACTCCAACTCAAAAAAAAAAAAAAGCAGCTTAAAATAAACCAACTTCACCAACATAAATCTGTTACACTTGTCAAAACATTTGGACTTTTTATATATGTAGGTACTTAAATCTTAAGAGTTTTGTTTCTTCCGTGTTTGATTTTGTGAGATGGACTCTAATATGTAAGATTTTTTTTGCTTGCTTTACAGCCAATCTAAACAAAATACTTCTTATAGTTAATATTCTGTCTTCTGAGAAAATGAGAAGCAAGCTGTCAGGCTGTTGCTCTCCATGACTTAATGATATTTCCCTGTTTTGCATTTCCTTTAACATCGTTTCGTCTATAATCACACAGTCTCTTGGTTTATATAAAAAAGACTAATGCACTCAACATGCTGAAATGCTTTGTATTTTTTCCTCCTATCCCGTATTTTAAGAAAAAAAGATTAAAGTGCAAAATTCCTCATTTTTTGAGCCTGTGTACTGTGGATTATTCTGTTTTCAGGTTCTAAAAACAGTGGGTCAGTTAAAACTCTTGAACACAAAATTACTAATGACTCAGTCCAGAACTAATGAGTAAAGAACTCAGAATGAGAGTAGAAAGACTGGTATTGTGCTATCAACAAGGACATTTTAAGCTTGCTTTATGGGCTTTTTGTTGTTGTTGTTGTTTTGAGTTGGAGTCTCACTCTGTCACCCAGACTGGAGTGCAGTGGCCAC